GCATCACCCCTCCTCCCCTCGCGCACACAGCCCTCTCTGTCATCTATCGTGTCCTCTCCAACCCTTTCAACCAACCCCTCCGGCTCCGGCCAACCGCCTACCGAACTAACCTCGGTGCCGGAACGTCACCCTTTTCGTCTCGAATGCGAACGCTCTCGACGATTCGAGTCGACGATCTCTACGTACAGCGATCCGACGTACAGCTGCATCGCCCGGCGCCCCATTACAACGCGCTGCTACTGTTAATTGAATCGATCGTTTTCAGATTGGCGGTCGCTCTAACCGGCACCGCAAAATCGGCGAAATCACGTCGCGCGTGGTGCAACGCACGAGCCAGTTCTCTGGGGAACGGTGGACCTGATCGCGGGGACACCGGAAGAGCGGTAATCGAGAGGGAAATGTGTTGGAGATGGGGGCGTCGCGTTTCAGAAGAAATATGGACGTGGACAACGATCGAATTTCATTGTTGAGTGTTCTCCTTGCGAATTGATCACGCGTTCAAGTAGTGGAACGAATAATCTCTCTTACGTGAAACGCGGATGTTTCGTTATATATTTCTTTCCGTGTAGATGCTGGACGATTATTTAATCATTGGAGAAACGTTTGTTAAAAATGTAGAATGCATAGCGTGAAAGTACATATATCGTAAATTATCAGTTAGTTGGCGGACAATGTCACTGTAGATCGGCTTTAATTTCATTGGGACAGATCGATAACCGAATATCGGGTTAAATTTCGTCAGGGGCGATTTCATTTCGAGACTCGTCTCTTTTCAAGCGAAACTTCTTTGTTCCTCTTTTATATATATATATATAAGAAAAAAGGGTAAAGTATATTTGGCAATCGGATTTATCCTGTCCTGGATAAACTTTGCGCCCGAAATATTGGTCGGCTATTAAAGAAACAATTATGAAGAATTGGGCACGGAACAAACCGGTTGACGAGCGGTTTGAAACTCGGTGCACAGTTTCCACGAGCGTAGTTTGATTGTAGGTCGAACTTTGACTATTTGTATGACCTTATTTGAGGTTTCCGGTTCTTGGGATCGAAGTTTCCTGACGCTGCGCCGCGTTTCAAATGATTATGTTTTAGGGGACCGTGTACAATCCTCGCAAATTACTTCGTTGCTTGACCCAGTTTCGAAACAGGCGGAACACGGGTCGTTCTCGGATAGGAAATTCACATTTTCAGACGTTTTGTTTGTGTCTCAGTCATCCGGCGAACAAGGAGGAAGGTGTATTATCGATCTCGCGGAGATGCAGTAAATATTGCACGACGTATTTACGCGTTTGCAATTGTGCGAGGATCAACGAATTGGGGCGGATGAATTTTGTTTGCGCCGTTTAACTGGGAATGAAATTAAGGTTATATATATACGTATTTAATATTTTTATTTAAAACTACGAGATTTAAAAAGCAATTATAGCTTGCTTACTTTCTTCGAACGCGTTTCCTTCACGTGCAACGTAATTTATCAACACGAACACGAATATTCTTGAGAAAGCAAAAGCTTGCCTCGACTTCTTTTCCCACCGATAAACAATCTCGTCGAAATTTCATAATCGTAACGTGCTTATTTTTGCGTTCACGTTTCTTCTTCGCGTTCGAACAAACAGAGTTCGAACAGAGTTTAAATCCAAATCTCGTTTGAAGATTGTACCAGTCAAATTTCAATTTAATCCCGACCAATCGAGTCCCGTTACATAATCGGCACTATTCGATCGATTCGGTTTCACCCTCTAAAAAAAGAAACGGAGAGAAAGAGAGAGGGGAAAAAAAAAACAACCAAAATACCCAATAACCGTTTAACATTATCCAATTAAAAATTCAGCTCTATCGCGTAACAGGGAAATTAAAAAAAAAAAAAAAAAGGAAAGCAAATTTCAAACAAACCGTTCAAACTACCGTTATCGTCAAATCGAATTTTTCCCCTCCCGCCTCATTCAAACTTTTAAATTGCATTAACCGACGATCATTTCGAGACCACCCCCTAACGTTCTCCGTGGAGATAATGCCCGTGGGGGGATTACGCTCGTTCGATTTTAACGGTGAAAAAGCATTGTCGCGCGCTGAATCGGGCGCGAAAGAGGCGGCCCGCTATCGATCCCGATTACCACGCGGAAAATTACCAGCTCGACACCGCCGCGCTGCTTGAACGGGCGCGCGCATTACGCCCCCTCGTTAATTAAAACGATCGGTCGCGGGCCGATCCGCGCTCGTTTCCCCTTCGAAACGTGGCTAGGCCGGGAAGAGGACTAATCGCGGCGTCCAGCGTTTCGAGCGTCCACGCGTTTTCCGCGACACCGGGCGAGGGGGAGGAGGAACACCGAGGTGGCGAGGTTGCGCGTGTCCCAACGATCTCTGTCCCGGTGATCTCTCTGTGAAACGCTTAATTCTAAACGCTCGCCAAGCGAACGAATAGCTCGGTGGGACGCGGCGCCACTCGTCCGACACTTGGTAACCCGCGCTCGTTCCTACCTATCCCCCCTTCTCTCTCTCTCTTTTCCTCCTCCCAGGATTCGCATCACCCCGACCCCGTTCCAACGAATTGTTACTGTTAATCGATTCGATTGCTTTCGAATTGACGGTCCTCTTGACAGTGTCCCGCTGATTTACAGGCGGATGTTTGCACACCGGCCAGGACAAAAGAGATTTTCCACGTTCTGTTTTTCCACCTCCCTCCCCGCCGCGGATACGATTCTCGATCCGAGAATCAGCCGCGCGTGCCGCTCATTGAATTTTTAATCGACAATGGAAATCGATTCGATCTCCTTCACGCTCGGCTTTTTTCTCGCTGTTTTTTCACAGGCCGCCATCACGCTTCGCGGTTACGAATTTTTTCCCCTCCCACTTTGCTTCCTTCCACGCTGTCCTCGACTTTTCTCTCTCTCTCTCTCTCTCTCTCTCTATCTCTCTTTCTATTTTTTTTTTTCCTTTCTTTCGTGCTCGCGATGCGCAGTTCCGCGCACACGCACACCGATACACGATAGAACGTGTACGATCGTTCGCTCGATCCACTTTTTCCTTCTATCTCCGCGAATACGTTGCCTCTTCTCTGAACTCGCCGTTCGAGTTCATTCATCCTTCGAAGTGGAAATCGGATCAACGTTCGTTTTCATTCACGATTCTTTTCTCGTCCAATCATTTCGCGGAACTCTTTCTTCCCCCATTGTTTTCTTTATCTCCCCCCTTTATTCATCCATTTGCCACGCCGCGTTAATCGTCCCCCCTCTCTCCTTGCAATAAAGTGAAATTGATAACAGATAAACCGAATTCGCAGAGAAAGGCGAGTAATAATCGTTTTGATATCGGTCTCTGATTCTTGATAAGTCGCTTTGATCGCGAATTAAGGCCATCGGCATCAATCATCCGTCCACGGATCTGCTCGACGATTAATCTCTCGCGTTTAAGCTGAAAGTTGGTCGGCCGATCGTTTGGTTGGACGAAACGAATCGATCCAGCGGTGGGAATCGGTTCAACCGATGTTTTTTAACCCTAAACCGGCGAAATTTTCGTACGTAATTTCCCGTTTGTTTCTGGCCTTTCTGGTAACCGGGGCGAAGTGGAGAGAAAGAGAGAGAGAGAGAAAAAGAGGAAGAGGGAGAGGAAGGATGGTAAAGAGGCTAATACGATTTTACGTGGGAAACGAGTGAAAATACCGGAGTGAACACGTACACACAGGGGCACACTTAAGCGCGATAAAACGGGTCGTACCGTGAAATGCAAGGAATGGAGAGAGGGCTGGATGGCGTCGTGTAGTTGAATAAAAATGGTGGAAAAATAATTCTTCGTGTGGAGAGCGCGCGATTCGTTTGCGATTTATTGCGAACGAAAATCAATACTTTACAAATATCCCGATTATATCATAATTATTATTATTATTATTATACATTTGCCACATCGTAAAAAAAGTAATTCAAAAATTGTGTTACGAGATTTGTCGCGTAAAAAGCGAAGCGTAGCCTAACAGGATATATAAAACGCGTTGTAAATTTCTTTACACGTCGTATATGAAAATCTTATCGATATTCAAATGCTGTAATATATTTCCTTTGAAGATTCACGTTTTCGACGAATATTCCGTTCGAATACTTTCTCCATAAAAGGTGGCAAGTGTGGCTGGTGCGTGTACGCGGTTAATGGCGGGAGCCGCCGCTGTTAAAATATTGAAGGAAAATATGGATGGCCGCGTAAAACGTCTAAATAGCAGGCTGACGATCCGGCCGCTGGAAACTCGGGTTACGAGGCTTCTCGTGTTCTCGTTGAAACGTTAGGCATCGATGTACGCTAGTGGGCTGTCCGCGTTAAAATCGTCGGGATTAACGAGCGGCGAAAAAGCGGCGCATCGTCGTTTCCGCGTAACGCCGGTTTTCCGCGTAAGGGATTCGAAGCACTTGTAATTACGGGGTTGCGGCTCGTAACGGAAGCTGTCCAACGAGGTTACGTTACGTTGCAAATTGGCAGGTTATAAAGATAGAACGCGCTCGAGGTACTTGGGTGCATGGGAAGTTAACGACGAGCGTATAGTTTGGATTGGGTGTAATGAATTTTAATTGGACGAAAGCTTCGTTTCATAATTTCGTTTATGATTGATAAAGTGCGTGGGAAATGAGTAACGAAAAACGATATAAAATATCGTATATAATTAATGTAATCTTGAAGTGTTTTATATCTACGGAGAAGATTTTATTATCTATTATCTTTTTTTTTTATGCTCACACTCGATTATTTTCAAGATTGGCAATTTCTTCAAATCTTTATTCGAAATTTGAACTTTTATCCTTATTATTATTTTCTAAAATAAATCGTGTTCTTAAAATATATAAATTGCACTTTCGTAAAAGATTTTTATAGAATAATCACGAGTAACACACATTTAATTGAATCGGGCGTCTTAAATATTTAAGAGAGTTTTTATTAATACGGAAAGAAAATGTCGGAAGAGACATTGTAAATAATGGAAAGCGAGAGAAGATTAACGACTATTTTTCTCGTTACAGATGTTCTGAGGCGCATCGGTGGTAAAAAAAAAAAAAAAAAATGAAAGCCGTAATCGCGACGTGTCTCCTCCTCTCTGTCACCGGCGTCCTCTCCGTCGAGTGGAAACACAGCGCCGTCCTGGACAATAACTTCTTAGTTCTTTGGACGCCAGGCGAGAGGGATGTGATGTTCGAGATTCAAGTGAAGACCCTCGGCTATGTGGGTCTCGGTTTCACGAGGGATGATGGCACTGTTGGGGCTGACATGGTCATTGGATGGGTGGACAACAACGGACAGCTCCATCTTCAGGTAAGTGTTCTTAAGAGCGTCACGTTATTTCCTTTGCGATCGTTCTCAGACACGGCTCGTGGTTTCTCCTCGTTCATCGTCTTCCCGCAAGAGCATTAATGCTCTTAATGCTCCACGAAAACCATATATTACTTAAAATTGTACGCGCAACTCGATGATGGAATCAATTGCAATTCACGTTCCATCTTCCATTCCTTTCTTCTCGAATATTCTCGTAAATAAATCTAGTAAAATTTCTTAACGTAAAGTATACATGTATCATCGTTATCTACGATTATCGAGATACAATGTCTGTACAGGTTTGAAATTTCGAGAAACGTATCGCATGATTATTATCGTCTCCCAATCGCGGACGTCGTCGTCATAAAGTACGTCGAAAGCACGTCGAACCGAGAACGATCGCGAAACGATTATTTTCATCGAGGTCTAGCAAAATTACATTCATTCCCCTGGAACGTTGACGTGGAATAATTTCAACTAATTACTCTTATGCTACCGATCCCGGTTCGCCGAGTGTTGGCCACGGATCTGGTAAGGGTACACCGTGTGCACACAGGGAGAAGCTGCATAATGATAGTCCTTCCGGAGATAAGTAATGGGTTTCTCGTTTCGATCGGTGGATCGGGTAGTTATCAATCTTACCAACCGAGGGCAGCGGCCTGTCATTATCGGTGCTCGTCATTTTGTACGACACTATGTCGTTTTATTTTTTCGGCAGGCTCGATTATCTTTGGATGATTCTCAGTCACCGGCCCCATGATGTATTGCTTTTATCGAAACGGTATTTTTCGAACCGTGCACCGTTCCCCCTGGATCAGATAACTTTTTCCTAGCATCGGGACACGATGGGAAACGCGTACGTTGCTTTGATATATTTCGTTCCAATTTTTTTTTATTTTTATTTATTTATTTATTTTTTTTTTTTTTTTGAACGAACGATTTTAAATTTATCGTAATTGCGATGGAAGAATAGAAGGTATCGGGAGATATGTATTTGTTTCTCGACAGAATTTATTTTAATTTATTTTAAAAAAGAAAAATAGAAAAGGAATGTCCACGATTTTCCATTCGATAAAAAGAATTCTTTCGAAAGAAAATAATTCCTTCTAACAGGAAATTAAAATCAACAAATAATTTTAATAACTCTAAAATAATTCCATAGAAAGATTCCCCCTCCATTAATTTTATTATTCAATTGAAACAAAAGGAATATCGATACAAGAGGAATATGTATACGTATATAAAAATTACTTGTCAATTTCACTATGAAATCTAAGAGACGTAGGCGCGAGTGAATTTCATCTCGAAACCTGCTATATACACGCGCACAAGGAAACATGTATCTTCCATTTCCACGGAAGTCTAAAGCCCGATAAACTAACAAGGCGAGCATCCCGCTATAACTCGAGAGACGTCGCCTGTAAACCGGTTTTAATTTCGCCCGAGGGGGTCCACAAACGTTACGTGCATAGAATTTTCGGCCCACGAGTTTATTTTCGAGTACTGTTAAATTTAAAACATCGTTATCCCGCCGCATCAGTTGGCGCAAACCCTCCTCGAGGACCGGACTCAAGGGGATTACTCCGTTATCCTCCCTTTCATCAGCGTTACGCGGCTGTTGTCACTTTACCCCGGCTTCCTCATAACATCAGGATCCAGCTATGGAAGGAAGATGGACGACCATGAGCGACGTTCGTCCGTTCTCCTTCCTCGTTTCCTCCTCTCCCCCTATTTTTCCGCCTCTTTTCGTATTTTCGCAAGCGGGACAGGCACAATTATATAACACCGATGCATCAACGCTTCTCCCTCCCCCTCTCTCCCTCTCTCTCTCTATCTCTCCCTCTTTCTCGGCTTCGTTTGCACATTTGTCGTCGAATATTTCTTTTATGAGCGGTCTCAGTTTTCATCGTCGTCTAGCACAGGATGCTCCGTCGCGGGAATTTCCTGGCCCCTAGAGTTTGTGCGATGTCACTGTCAACTCACCCTCCTCCCTGATGGATAGATACTCCTTCCCTGATTACCGTACGTTATTAATGGTAATTTTCGCAACTTCACCTGCTGGATATACCTCGCAATAATAACGTCCAAGATGGATATTTCATATTATAGACATAACGAGATCGTTGATCTTTCCTTTTTTTTTTAATGTTTCGTATACAAATACATTGATAAATAAATTAAAAGTAATAATTTCATCTTTGAAGGATTCGAGGGAAGAATGAATATGGAAATTCGAAAGGGTGATTCGATCGAGTTAATCGGTCCGCGAACGATCTTATTTCTAGGGATCATTCTGGGGATTCGGTTGAATTTGCGTAGGTAATGAGATTAAGAAAAAAGAAAAAGAAACGAAGGATTAATTAAAAGTGTTTTTAAAAGCGATAACAAGGATAGAACTTATTTATGCTTGTTCGCTCGACCGTTTGATTACACTCGAATAACTGTACCGTCGTTTATGATTAATGCATGTTGTCGAAACCGCCAACCATTTAACGTCCATTATATAATCGACGCATTGCGGTTTAAGTTGGTTGCTTTGTAATCAATACTTATTAACATTCGATTGGCATGGCCGAGCTCAAGATGAAAAATGGCAAATGCTTCCCATGCCCGTTATTAATTTTCCAATGGGATACATATAATACGACATCATTTCGTTGCATCAATAGAATTCACCAGATATTGTCGCAAATATAAATTCTCCATATTTCTTTTTTTTTTTTTAATTCTACATCCTTTTTTATTCTCTCTTCCCTACCATTTCCCCGATAATTAAACATCGCTAAATTTCAACGATCTTTCCGACTCATTTATTCTCGAATCAATAAAAAATAACTTTCTTTTAAAGAAAGCAACGATCCTCGACAATGAAAAACCTCTTGATCTACGATCCCACGACTTAACGACTTCCCTCTAACTCGTTCCTAAATTCGTTCGACTTTCCTCTTGTTCCATAGAGAACTAAGAAAAATTCCCTATTTTGCCTGTGCGATCAAAGACTCGACGAGGCGAAAAGGCGAGGTTAAACCAATAAGAAGAACCTTTGGATCGGTGGAAGAGCGAGCAAGGGGGTAACGAACGCGTGCTAAACCGCAAGAAAGTCGAGGAATCGGTAGATCCTTCCCCCCTCACCTATCCTCGTCCGGTATTATTCTCGTTCGTCCGGCTGATCCGGATGACCGCGATCCCCCCCCCCCCCGTTAAGATTACGATCATAACGAAAAACTCTTATTCCCCGCTCCCCTCTTCCGCCGTTCTTCCTTCTCCTTTTCTCTTCCTCCCTTTCCTGCAGCGTGTCCTTTCGCAAGGCTGAGCGCGCCTCCGGCCTTCCCCTCCCCTCCCCGCTTTCCCGGTGTCCTCGTTGCGCGCACAGTGGAAGGGAGGGGAGGGAGGGAGGGGAGGGAGGGAGTCCGGCTGCACCGCGCGGAGCATCGCACGCGGCACGGCATGCATTATGGAACGAGCGGGCAACGATTCTACCGGAAAAATTGCGGACACGCGAGACGGACGCGATCCGCACCCCGACGACCACCTTGCCCACCTCGTGGATACGTACCTAAGCACCGGGGTAAGTCGTCGAGAGAAGATTGCTTCCCCCCCCGTATTGCATCCGTTCTGGAGCACGGATGCGCGCACACGGATGTTACGACGGCTCCTTTCCATTTCAGAGAAGGAAAGAGATCTATATAACGCGGATCCAACGTTCCGCGATAATAAGGCTTTTCCCTTGCCTCTTGTCGAACATGGAACGTATGGATTTTGTTATTTGGATCGAAGCGAGTAAATAAAAAGTGGAAATAGAAATTTGTGGAATTGAAACGTGTGTGTCACGAATTTACTCCGCTCCGGTGGAAATGATTGCAGCAAATATGGAATTGAGGGAAATATGTGGAAACGGCACGCGCCAGTTTTTCATCATTCCGTCGACGGTGTGGACGATCGTGACGTGGGAGTCGATGCTCGCGTACGCTCGACCGTACGTGTAAGTATTGTTTCGCAATTGATAGGCGGAGGAAGACGGGATAAAAGTAAAACGCTCGACGAAAAAGGAATCGAGGTTGATTAAAGATGTACGCTTCTTGATACATTTGCCGTTTCAGGATCCCAGGCTTTTGTGTGTTGAACCACTTCGATCCATCCGGGTGAATTCAATTTTCCTGGTCTAATTCTTTTATTCGCTTCGTTTAACTTCCCCCCTGCTCCGTCGTTCGTTCCGTTCGGCACGTCGTTTCAAGGCGAATCCGTGGCTCCTTGGTGTCTATTCGAGGTCTTTTGTAACCTGGAATACTTTAACCAAAAGCGCTTTGCCGGGGCGAATTCACACTTTTCGCTCGTCATTATTAAAAATTCGAGATTAAGGATAGGAATTAAATCTTTTAAAAGGAGAGCAATTAAAATTCAATTCGGAACGGAGACGGAGGAGAATATGGACGGAAAGGAATACGAAGCGATTAATATTTAATGACTCGTGTAAAAAGAGAGGAGAAAGAATGTTTCGAGTGCAGCTGGCAGCGGAGGTTAAATAATTCAGCTCGATAAATCGTGAGTCGATTCAGGGCGTCCTGTCGATCCGGTCCGAGAAAAGAAAACTGAGGTTTCTCTCGGCGAGAGACCTCGGCTTGACGCGCGATTATTTCGTCGACACGCTCGTCGCGAAATGGTAATGAGATCTTGGCGCAGTTTATTTCGATATCTCCCCGACGTCCGTCTCTCTCTCTCTCTCTCTCTCTCTTCTCATCATGCACTCCCCTTCTCGTCCGTTCTTGCACGCGCATGCACGAACGTAATCACGGTGCGGGACCAGGATGGAGGACGGACAGGAAGGGAGGGGGTAGTTGGGCGAGGAAAAAAACGAGGAACGACCGCGGCGTTTCGCGCGGAATGAAATTCCTATTCCGCATTGTCGGCGGTTTGCCCCTGCAGTCGGGTAAAGTGGTTGAAAAAGGTCGGCGGAATGGGATAAAAATGCAAGGCGAAGGATGTACGAGCTCGATGGATGT